CCCCCCCCCCCCCCCGTGAGCGCGTGCCTGAGCTCTCACCTAGCAGAGTGCCGTAATCTTCCACCTGGTATGCCCATCACTTTGGCTCTGTGGCAGCTTCCCTGTGGCCAAGAAGAAATCTCTAAAAGTTCAAAATGGTCCAGTGGGCTAGGTAGAGTAGGAGATGGTGATAGTCATGGTAAGCTAGGTAGTCATGAAAGCTAGGTAGAGTAGGAGGGTCTTTGTATGAAACTTTGACTATAACTTGAAAAAAAAAAAACAGGCTAAAGGTAGACCCACAATTAAAGGTCTTTCATGAAGTGTCCCTGGAGTTGGAGTAGGAGGGAGAATAGTTGGGGCTCCTGGGTTCCTGAATGCTGCGTTTGAAGAGAGTAAGGTATAGCTGGCTGTGGGCTGTACCTTGCCCTCCTGGGGAAGATTGGATACCCTAACCTGGTGTGGCTCAGGAGGGAGGGACAGCACTCCCACTAGGAGATGAAGTCTGCCTTGCTGCTAAACAGAGGACAGGGCTGGAGGAGCGTCAAGGAGGACTACAGGAAGTCCACCAGAGAGGCCCTCTAGCAGCCCAGAGAAGAGGACACGATGGTCATGGGAAACAGAGGGGGAAAAGACTAACATACAAGAGGAACTGTGAATACAGAACTGCAAAAGCATAAATTAGGTCAAACTGTACTGGCAAAGCGAGGAGAAAGATGGCTACTGAGTCAATCTATGCTAGTTCTGTGTGGGAGGAAGGGGGACTTTTCAAGTTGAGATCATTGAGAATGTGTAAAAAGGAGAGATCGGGAAGCCAGAGAATGGGGAGAGCCAAGCTTGCCCTTTATAGAAACTGGCTCACACAGGAGCTAACTGGGTCTCCTGGGAACTATGTTAATCTTCTCAAAGAGCACCTGTAACAATTTAAACACCTTCCACTTAGCTCTACCTTGTGAGTGTGTGTGTGTGTGTCATATCATGTATACCTGTGCACGTTTGTATATGTGCGTATGACATTGTCTGTCTTCCACATTCACTCTCTATCTTATTTTTGAGCTAGGATCCCCCACTAAACCTCAAGTTCGTACTAGGTTGGCTGGTCAGCGAATCCCAGGGGTCTTCCTTTCTTTGCCTCCCCAGCAGTCAGATGATAGGCATGTGCCACCAGAGCCAGGTTTTAAAGACATGAGCACTGGGAATCTCAACTGAGATCTTCCTGCCCGAAAAGCAAGCGTTTTACCATACAAGATGTTTCCCTAGTCCTTGGTTCCACTCCTTAGAGGCCCCACCACTCCTCACAGCCTCCCAACGGGGGCTAAACTCGTACCCTGGGCTCTTGGGGGCACACGGAAACATAACTAAACCCAAGCAGCCAGCTACGCAGGGCAGTTTGGGAAAACGATTTCTGCAAACACCATCCTACAACAAGCAAAACCACCCACATGCTTCTTGTAATAAATACGAAAGCAAAAACAAATTTCTCTTTGTTTGCAAAGGCAGGAAGCCCAAAAAACATCAGACATTACAACAAGGGAGATAACACGAAGACTGTAAAGCAGACTGAACCCCGGGAGCTAGCAGAAGCTAGTGAAAATAATTACTACCAGCAGAGGTACATCACAGAGCAGCGTGAGCACGTGCCCTCCTCTCAAAAAGAACCAATCAGAAAGCTTAAAAAACACGGGGGAAGAAAACTGCTTTCTGGGGCAAAATTATGTCAACAAGAGGGTATAGATGACATAGCTCCGGGGTTAAAATTGTTAAGGGGAGGCTGGGGAGACAGCTCAGTGGATGAAACACGTACTGTGCAAGTGTGAGGACCAGAGTTCAGGTCCTCAGGGCCACTTACAGCAGGGGGTGTGTGTGGTGATAGGGCAATCTCCAAGGCAAGCCGGCTAGCTGGACCGAGTTGAACTGATGAGCTCTGGGGTCATCCAGAAGTGGTGCCTAGGAAGGTAGAGTGGACACGTGGGCATGCTTATGCACGTGTGCATGTAGGAAATAAAGAATCCAGAACAATAAGGGGCCAGGTATCACGGTACACATCTGTAATCAGGATTCACTGAGGCAGGAGAATTGAGAATCTGAGGAAAACACAGTCTCAAAAAGTCGAAAAGGAACGAATTAAAAAGTAAATACATAAAATAAACAAAGAGAAGAAGAGGCCAGTCCAGCTGCTGAGATCACTGAGAAGCGGGGCCGGCTATGAGCTGTGGGAGCAGGCCCCTACCTGGAGGCTGTAGGGCAAGGCTTAGCAGGAAAGAAGAGAGGGCTAAAGATATGGTGTGGCAGGAGTCCATATCCTTCTTCCTCTCTCTCCCTGTATTATGGATTTCCTCTGACTTCCTCTGGAACCTGACATCTCTCCCACTGACATTAGAACCGAGGGAATGCTAACAGTTCTGGAAGGCATTGGGAGGCCTTGAGACAGTGTGATCCAGGAAACAGCCAGGGATTTGATAGTCAGATCAGCTTGAGAAAGAGCATATACAAGTAAGTGCTTTGAATCCACAGTCTATCCATGTCCTAAGGGCTCTGAGAAATCGTGTGGTTAGATGAACCAATTCAGTTCATCAATATCTCCCCCAGCCGCCGTGCAGAGAAGTAAGACTACCATAGGGCATGCTTTTACTTTCTTCATATCCATGTTCTCAGCAGTAGAAGCAGCCAGCACTGTCTACTGTGTCTGCTCTGGCTGATGGATTTCTAGTACCCGTTCTTCCTCACTTCCCAGTATTCCTCCCTGAATGTTAAATTGCAGAGAACAGTGTAGAGAAACTCCGAGTGGTCATTTCTCCTGGCTAGACTCTCTGCACATGTCTGCACAAAGCTGCAGTCTGGCTGCCAAACCACTCCCATGATAGGAAGTCGTTTTGCAGGCGTCCCGAATCTCGCCATCTCCTACGATGATGTCGGTGACACCCAGCTCACTGCATTCCAGGAGCTGCAGCAAAACAGACTTGACAGAGTGGAGGCTTTTCGATAGTGGGGCCCAGTGCCCTGAAGATGTGGGGTGACAATCCCCACTTGCCACAGCAGCTTCTGGAGGTCAAGCATGCACCTACTGCTTGCTTTGGGGGTGCCTCGTTCGCTCACACCATCATTCGCACACCCTTAGGGAGGAGGCCAGACAGGGTGTTTTTGATGGAAGACTTAAAGCTCCCATGCTTTTTTTTTTTTTTTTTTTTTTTTTTCCAGTTCTTTGTTTTACTTATTTGATGACAGACCTTGGCAACAGGATAAGGTCCAAATCATTTAACATCTCTTCACGATAACCCCTCCTACCGCTGACCAGTCAGAGGTGCTTGAGCTGTAAATGAGAAAAATCTGCTAATTCCTCAATAGTCCTGTGTGTCATTTGCTTCTGTTACCTTAATGAGGAGCTTGAGATGATTATTTTATGACGGGAAAAGGTTTATTTTGGTCACTGTTTTAGATTTAACCTATGATCAGTTAGAGCCATTATTTTTAGGTTTTTGGTGGGAGTGGCAGCACAGAGCAGAGCAAACTCATCAAACGGACTAGGAGGGAAATAAAAGAGAGCTAGATTGGGGTTCCAGCTTCGCCTCGGAGGGCATGCTTCCTTCAAGGAAGACTCAAAGACTTCCCACTGCCTTTTTAAGTATTCACCACACCTCCAAGCACCAACGAGAAACCAAGTCTTTGAATATTCTAGATCCAACAGTAGCCCCATGCTTCCTCCAGGTTTTGCTGTCAATATACGCTCTGTAGAGTCTGCTGCTGACTGGCCCCATTCCTTTTCTCCCTGCATGGAGGAGCAGCCAGAAACAGAATATAAGTCAGAGCTCACCACTCCTCCCTGCTGCTCTTTCTGCCTCGTGGCCTCTGACAGGACCTGGGGAAGAGTGATGATGACCCAGTCACTGAGTGCATGATACTTGTACTGCTAGGTTTCTGGGTTCCATGTTGAGACAGGAAAGCGTACCCACAGCCATCACTATCTATCAATCAAGAGCAGTGGGAAGACAGAGCTGGCACAGTCCACCTTGAGTGGGTGAGACAGGCCTGGGCCCAGTGGGTATCTTGCACAATCTTAAGGAAAGGGAAACAAGTAAATGTGATTTTTTTTAAATGCTTTCCAAAACTAACACGGACTAAAATATGATAAACAGGGGTCCAGAAGAGAGAATGGGTTCCAAGTAAGCCACCCTGGGTGCAAGAGGGATGAGCGGGCTGAAGTGGGAGGGGTAGAAGTTCAGGATGCGCTTCTTATCTTGAGGCAGTGCAGGGGAGCGTCCATCTCTGGGGAGAGGCAGAACGGCAGCCTCGTGGCTCCCTTCACGAGAAGGAGCAACAACAGTAACAGGTGATCTGGGACTGACTTATCACCTATATATTTAATTTTTTTATTATCTAGTGAGAATCTCTAAGATGCTTTTTCTTCTTCCTTTTCTTTCCTTTTTCTTTTTTTCTTTTTTAAATTCAGAGCTTAGTCCACCTTTGCTATCTTTCCTCAGAAATTCCTGAAGTCAAAGGAAGGGCGACTCAGTTTCCAGACATTTGCCTCTCCGCCTTACAGTCACCTCTAGGAATTTTGGGTTTTAAAAACAAGCATGGGGCAGGGCAAGCAGGCGCTGCAGTACCGATTTTCGTTCTCAGACTTTCCTCATCAGGGAATTAGGACAACAGTGACTTAACAACAGGGTTTGGTTTCAATAAACCTGTTAATGTCACTTGAAAATGCAGTAAGCTGAAAATTCACTGCAAACAGCTAACCTATAAAAGCAACCTCGCCTAGCAACCACCTTACTGTAGAGGCCCCCTTTGTTGCCTGCAGGTGGACATGACTGATGGGAGCTGAGGCTTTCTGCCCCACCCAACACCTAGGAGAACCATTCAGATTTCAAGGTGTGGTGTTTCCCGAATGCCCATTGCTTTTATACTACAGTAAAGTTGAAAGACCAAAAGCAAGCCATTACAGTTTAGAACCCTGTGTAGCGATTAATTTCTATTAGTAAAATTGAAAATTCAGCCCCGCACAAAGATAATCATGGACCATTGCAAACAAAGAGGAGGACACAGGCTTTCTTTAGTTCTCCTCCCCACCCCCATTCCACAAGGTGGAGACGGACAGGAAGACAGGCCAAGCTCAAACAGCAAAAGGCTTGGTGGAATGAATCTTGCAGCCATTTCTTCTAGAGGACAGAGACACAGTTTAAAGTCCTTTTAAGCAGCCACCATTTTCTCCAGGTTGACTCTTCAGGCAGCAAACATAACGATGGGGAAAGAAACGAGAAAAGCAGCTTAAAGCAATGAGCACAAAGGGAGAGGGTGGCAAGGAGGTTGCCTGAGCTTATTTAGATTAATTCCACTCTAAGCAAATCCTCACAGACAGGAAATGGCATAAAATATTTATGTATGAATGGATATATTGAGTTGTCTATGCCTTCTTAAAACGTCCTAATGTATAGATGCAGTTACATATCTTAATTGCTAATTCAATAAACATTATTAGCATCTACTAGACTAAACCCGTAGGGATTAGAGTAAAAGTGAGGATATAAATATTCATAATGAGAAGGGCAAACATTCACTGAGGGTTATGTTTGATATGCTGGACAAGCCTTGGCTTATTTACCCAGAATAGTAAGTAGGGTTCTTTTTCCACTTTACAGGTGAGGAAACTGAGACTTAGGATACTGAAGAAACCTGCCCATGGTGGCAGAGCTGGTTGGTAGTTGTCAGAGCTGAGAGTCTGAGAATCTGAGTGGGATTCCTAACCATTAGGTTCAAGAGGCTTATGTGAGATCTCTACCCCCAGAACTTGGAAGGGAGTGGATGGAACTCACCTAAACAAACACCACTCACACCGGGTCAAGCCTCTCAGTGGGAGAAGAAAAAAGATGAGATCGGGACTTCAGATGGAAGAAAAGAAAAGAAGAATTCACAGAGAGAAAACTCACAGGCAGGGTGGAGGAGTGCCGGCGAAGGGAGTGCAGGAAAATGCACCTGGACTAAGTGCTAAAAATGACCCAAATGATGGTTGGGCTGCACATTTCCAAAGGGTAAAGGTGCACCTTAAGCCCAGTTTAAGAGAAACACAATTATCTTAATTCAATGAGGACGGAGCACAATCTGAAGATGACAAGGCAGAGGTCACTAGCGGCCACCAGGAGCACCCTCTTCATGGCAGTAGGCAGCCAGCTGGATGTAACTAGCCTGTGGGTCATGATTACAGAGCTGCCAAGAACCAGGGAGCTGCAGGAGACAGGGCCAAGATAATTATCTTCCCTTCCCACGCCCTGGGGTTTTAGTTCTTCTGGAATTTGGAGATCAGAAATGGACTATAGCCAAAAGGTCTGTAACAAAGGAGAGGCCTGACCAACTAGAGACTGGCTGCTAAAGGTGGCGTTTATGTCCAATACTCTATATAGAGTCTGCCTTCAGAAAGCTAAGACATAGTTTTCATGCTAAGGACCAGCGGCCAGGCTAAACCACACAGACACCACCAGTCTGCTGCGTGAACCCCGTGCCTCTGGTAATGGCTGTTTACCTTCTCTAGTTTGCAGCTGAGGTTTTGTCTCTTTCCCACTTCCTGTCCCCAAATCTTCCCCTAGCATCCTGTCTTGCCGTCCCTGGGGGCTGCCAAGCTCCATTCCTCCTCACTTTGGAAGAGCAGCGCCCCCTTGTGACCATGACCGCTTACCTCGGTATCTCTCAGAGAGCTGGACAGAGAACTGGGGCTCCGCCCTAAAGCAAAGAACCCCAGCTTAGAGATCTACCTACCAACTGAGAAACCCCAACGTCATTACCCCACGGAGTCTGTTTTATTTACTCAAGTTTAATGAAGACCCTGGTGATTTTCAGATTCCTGTCTTTTCCCGTCTCTTCCATTGAGCCTTTGGAGAGCACAGGGTCCCAGGAGAAGGCCCAATTTCAGCAGCGGACTCGCCCCCACTTTTTTTCTGTTTCCTTTTCTGATGTATTTCCTTCACCAGGGGTCTGTCTCTGAGGACGGAAATGGCGCCCCCAACTCCCGGAGCCCAGGGGACACCTAAACTCTATGAAGTAGGCGAATTATTGTTGGAGGTTTCCTTCCCCTCTCTTTCCTTTTTTTTTTCTTTCTCTTTCTTTTCTAGTGCCTGTCTCCCGCCGCCCCCCACTCCCAGCCTTGAGCATAAAACACAGGGTTTTAAAAGTGGTTAATGTTTAAAGGGAGAGAGTCAGGCTAGGCAAGACATCGGCAGGTTGCTCAACAGACAAACAAATCCACCTGCTTTGTTGCTTCCTAAACTAACAGGAAGCAGCCAGAAGAGGGTCACTCACCCAGCCTGGGCCCACACCAGCTGGCAGGCCACCCACAGGGCCACTGCGGTGTGCTGCAATAAGGAGAGGCTATAAATAGACTTTTCTAAGAAGCTGCATGCTGGTGTCGGACAGGCCTGATGGAGAGTCCTGATTTGTTGCCCTCCACACAAGTAGGGAAACACTTCTAAAAGGACCCTATAGAATGTAAGCCTTGGGGGGGGGGGAGGCTGTCTGCTTTTCCCTCCGAGTTCAGCTTCTTTCCTGTTGCCTTTGAGGGTCTCCGTTGAGTTCCTAACTGCTGCCTACCAGCTTAGTAATATTGAAGACCATAACAGAAATTCCTTGGTAGGTTTTCCTGCGGCAAAACCTAGTGCCCCACACTTGTCTAGTCTCTTATTCCTTATGCATGAGCCTCTTTGGTGCTCCATTCAAGACTGATGTCCTTAACACCTTATCTTCAAGACAGATTCTTTTACTCTCTTGTGCGTTCATGTTTTCCCTGTTTGGACTCCTTGAATGCCTCTCTATTGTTTATAGTTATGGTCTGCCATTTTAAACACATACCCGTTCTCGTGTAAATACATGTGCCTCCATCAGTTTGTATGAAATAATATAAGGAGAGTTTGTTCCCATGGATACTCTGTGATGAATAAACATGGACAGGAGTTACATTTTCTTCCTGTCCATCACTAGATCACTTTAAAGACCCTGAAGTGGATATCACTAAGCAGAGTCCCCAGCCACCCTGCTGGGATCTCCCAACCTTCTGAGCTCTGGTTCCGAGTCACTTATTCATTCAGTCAACATTTCTAAGAGCTTACTGTGTTCTGGCCCTGGGTTAGGCTCAGGAGCTCACACTGTGGGAAGAGAGAAACACATAGACTACTTCCTGGAGAACTTAGATGTTTCATTATGGAAGCATGTCCACATCCATACAGGGAGAAGAGAGAAGTAACTGTGTATGGGGTTCAGAGGAGGCCTCACAGGGGGCCGTTTGTACTCCATGTTGAAAGAAGAGTGGGAGTTTACAGTGTCAGGCAATGGGGAAAGGCGCTTCTACACAGGCAATGCAAAGGCACAGAGGTGAAGGAGGAGAAGAGAGAGGAGAAGGAGAAAGAGAAAGGAAGAGAGGCAGTATATTGGGAAGGTATAAGCAGGTTACCAGACAGGTGAGGAGGCGTTCGATACAGTGACACAGACAAGGATCGGAAAGAAAAGCTGAGGCCAGACCAAGGAGAACCTTATCCGCTGTGTGGTGAAATTCAGCCGTAACTGAAGTTAGTGTGAGTCACGGATCTGTCAAACTCCGCTCTTTCCTAAGCGGCTTTTAACCTGTATCTCCATAGTTCCAGGGAAGGAAGGCATCGATCTCCTTTCTTTGTGCTTTTATTAAGAAAGTGATGTTTGTGCAGTATTCCCAAAGAAAGCACTTATCTTTGAGGCTCATTAACCTGCCTTGTTCCTTTCCTGAGATGCTTTACCTTAGAAATGAAATGCTTTTCTCAGACTCCCGCTCACACAAGCTGCCATTATCGTGTGTGTGATGGTTGCTAGGCACGGCTCTTGCTGGGTTTTCATGTTTAAGGTATTTTTCTCATGAGGGGAAACAATGCAGATGATTTTCTTTGCGATGGGTCCGTTTTGTTATTTTGCCTGGGAGGGTCGTTATATATCTTTAAGCCATCTAGGCTTCCCTCTCGTGACCAGGGTCAGGCATTTACAAGTGCCTTCATCCAAGTTGGAGGTGCAGCCTATGCTGGGGCACCAGCGCTTTCCTCTGCTCTGAGTGAGGCTGAAACAGCTACCCTGAGCTCTGGGTCTTATCCTTATATGCTAAGATGATATGAAGCAAAAAGCACCATGATCCAGAGGAAGCAATGTATTTGAAATAGAAATGACAGCACTTGTCATCTGGGCTGGAAATGACTGTCACGGAGGATGAAATGAGGAGGCTCTGGAACCACGTGACCTTCGGGACAGCTGACACTTTGAACAAGAGAAGACTGTGATAGAAAATGAACAGGACCGTATGTTCTAGGCTCAGCCCTCGTGTTGAAAGGCACACATCCTCTCAGGCTCTCATAATCCTCTCTGTTAAAAAAAAAAAAAAGGCAGAAGCCACCTCAGAACCTGTTCTACCTAGCTGCATTATTGCACTGTGTCTCAGTGGTTATCAACCAAGGCAAGAGGTATCCAGTTGGCACCGCCTCTAGTGTGTGTGTGTGTGTGTGTGTGTGTGTGTGTGTGTGTGTGTATGAGAGAGAGAATGAGGCAGACAGACAGACATTGAGCTGCTTTCATTGTTCTAGTCCAGACAAGAGTTATGGCCCACTGGTTCTCTTTGGAAATGCTTGGAAAGAGGATGAAATAAGCACTGCTTGTACTTTTACATACTCACCCAGAGCTTTTTGCTGTGGCTTTTCTGCTACCTTAAAACAAGGGATGAGGCTAGGAAGGAAGAGATTTACAGAGTGAGCAGGGACCTGACTTGCCGTAGGAGACAGAGCATGGGCATTGGCTTTGGTGTGAGTGTGTTAGACAGAGTTCTCCGGTGGAACAGAACTTACAACATTAATTTATATTACAAAGGGAAGTTATTAGGTTGCTTCATAAGACATGGTCTAGGTAGCCCAAAAATGGCTGTCCGCAAGCTGGATAGGCTAAAAACCTTTGCTCAGCCCATGGTGCTGGGTATCTCATCAAGTTAGCCTGAAGAGAAGTCTGTGGGTGCATCTTCTTGATTGCTAATTGATTTGGGAAGGTCCCACTGTATGGTACCATACATAGCAAGTAAGCCTGGCTATTTAAGAAAGATAGCTGAGCTGGGTGGTGGTGATACATGCTTTTAATCCCAGTGCTTGGGAGGCAAGGACAGGCAGACCTCTGTAAGTTCAATGCCAGCCTGGTCTACAAAGTGAGTTCCAGGATGGTCAGGGATGTTACTTAGAGAAATCCTGTCTTGAACCAAACCAAATCAACCAAGCAAGGTAGACAGACAGACAGATGGACAGGCAGAAAGCAAGAAAGACAGGCAGGCAGATGGAAGGAAGGAAGGAAGGAAGGAAGGAAGGAAGGAAGGAAGGAAGGAAAGAAAGAAAGAAAGAAAGAAAGAAAGAAAGAAAGAAAGAAAGAAAGAAAGAAGGAAAGTCGCTGAATGTGAGCCAAGAATCCAGTCAGTAAGCAGCATTCTTCTTCTGTGCTTTCTGCGTCAGCTCCTGCTTGAGTTCCTGCCTTGTCTCCCTTCAGTGATAGACTGTGATCTGGAAGTATAAGTTCAGATAAACCCTTTCCTCCTCAAGTTGCTTTTGGCCTCAATGTTCATCACAGCAACAGAAAGCAAACTGGAAGAAAGAACCTGAGAACTCCTTGAGAACTTCGTTGATAGGCGGACTTGGTGAGCTTCTTAGGAATGAAGGCTTTGGCCAGGTGAGGCCAAAGGCTTGACTTCGAGATGCTTCCAGGCTTGATCTGACAGCATGCTTAAGACCAGCAACTGAGACTGATTACTGGAACAAAGTGGCTGCAATGGTTTGAGCATGCAGTGTGCCCCGGAAGGCTCATGCGTTGAGGACTCTGCTCCCATTTGGAGGATCCAGTTGTTGGGTGGTGACTGGATCATGAAGTTTCTAACTCCATGGACTCATCCATCAATGGATGTTTTGCTTCATTACAGGCCCCAGTTACCATGGGCTGCAGCCTCTGAAGATATAAGGCCAAACGGAGCTCTTATTCCTTTTCAGTTGTTTCTCTCCGGTATTTGCCACAGAGAGGAAAACCTGCCACCATGGCACAGGCACTGAGATTCAAATAATTTTACACGTACAGGCCAAAAGTCAGAAAATATTCAGAACACATTCATTTATGGCTGCATAAACTTCATATATTATTTATTTCGATACAGAGGGGCTCTTTTTTTCACCCTAACTTTGGCGTCTGTCTGTTGCTAGTGCTTAGCAAGGCCTGGAAGATAATTGCCTGCGTGTTAAGTCCAGCCTATGGTTTGTTATCATCCATGAGCTTGACAATAACTGTCAGGGTTTCCAAGGAGTATACAAAACAAAAACCAAAACAAAAGAAAAACAAAAACCCACAAAAAAAAATCCATTCAGCTGAGCCCCGATGGAGTGCCCAGAGCCTACAGTATTCACTATGTGGCCCTTTGCATACACTCTTGCCACATCTGCCCTGGGAGATGTCCTGGTTATTATATGAAGAAACTGGTAGCTGTTTGCTCACCTCACTTGTAGAGCCACTGTGGGAGGTGAGGCAGTGGTTATCATGTCCATATTCAAAGTGAGGCAACAGAAGACCAGAACAGTTACATAACTGCTCCAAGGTCATGTTCGTGTGGCTGAGGTTGAGAATGGGTCAGGGACTCCCAGTCAGGGCCTCTTATCGGTATATGCCAGAGGGAGGGACTGCCAAAGTAACTGACCCAGCTCTTTCGTATGGGTTAAAAGAGGATGAACTGCATCCAAAGTGACTGAAGGGCATTGGGTCTATCCACCCTTCCTAAGCAAGCAGCTCATTGGGGGGGAAATATCATGAAGAATATTTGGAAATGCTAGAAATGTTTAACTAGCCTTATTTTAGACATGGGCAAGCTGGGCAACAAAAGTTCGCACTACTCAGCAGACACTGTGTCTCAACTCTCCAGCGTGACCTTCCCTACAGGGTGGCCTGGAAGCTGGCTTCTCTAAATGGCCTTCACGGCCCTTCATTTCTCTTCGCTCTTATCCATTTCCTTCTCCTCCACACAGGAGTGCGAGGCAAACAGCAGCTGGAGTGAATGAATGCTCACATTATCCGCCGCCCCGGCCTGTCAGCAGCTTCCCCACTGCAGGCCCTGAGCGGCCAGTGTGGAGCACTCTGTCCCCAACATAAACAGCCAGTTAGGCTAAGTAGTGGCTTGTTTTCATTACCAACCCAGGCAAGATGCTAGGGATCTCCACAACCCCCACCCCTGCGCTACCCCAGTGCTGAACAGGGGCTTTGTACCCGTTAATGCAAACCAGCTCCTGATTAACGTCCTTGATTGCTACTGAGCAGAGTCCTGAAATCAAGGTGTGTGCAGGGCAGGTTCTGAGCCACCTTTGAGAAGGAAGGACTGGAGATTCCAAGACTGGGCGGCCTGCCTGTCAGATAGTGTTTAAGAAGCTCTGATACTCTGAACAAGGTGACTTTAGACTCTTCAAAGAACCTAAAGTTCTAAGTCCTCGAGTCTTTTCCTTATCGGCCTGTTGCGATGGGATGGATTCCTACCCTTAGAGACAGGTCCTTCTGGCAAATAGAGACAGTCAGCAGAGCCCATGTTATCCACAGACGTGGCTCTAGGGAGGAACAAGAGAGAGGTGGAAAGGAGGAAGCTAGATGAAAGCCCTTCTCTAAGTTAAGACAATTGTCTGCTGCACCAGGGAAAGCCTGGAGTTCTTGAGCATCTGCCTGTGGGTGCAAAGGGTATTTAATAGTGTGGAGGAGTCAGGCATTTCCAGCATTCAGGCTCCTTTGTTCCTCAGATTTGCTCTTTTCACACTCAATTAAAGGAATGCATTTTTTTCTTCCCTTTTTCCCTCCCTCCTTTCCTTCTCCCCTGCCCCTTTTTTTTCCTTCTGAAAGAAATGAGCTGGCCTCAAACTCATTGCATGAATAAGGGTATCCTTGAGCTTCCAACGGTGCTCGAGTGGCCATCTCCTGAGTGCTGGGGTTGCAGGCATGTGCCACCGTGCCCAGCTGAAGTGGTTTAGGGGTAACATCCAGGGCTTCCCGCACTGTAAGCAAACTCACTGCTCACTGAGCTACACACCTATCCTTTTCTCCATGCCTTCCTGTCCCCACTTCTGTGGCCCTCCCCCTACTCCCTGGTCCACGAGTCCTTTCGCATGTCTCTGTTCACCATCTGCAGGTCATATCTGAAGAGCTTTAGCTCTCTGTAGGCTGTGTCCCTGCCTTGTGCTCCCTGCAGCCCGTTTTTCTCTTTGACGCTCAGTTCTTTTCAAGACTTGTCTTCCTTCTGTGGAGGACTCTGGGACTCTGAGCCTGTATCCAGTTCACTGGTAACACCCAGCAATGCCCCAGCGCACTAACTAGTATGCTGTGAACAGAGACCGCTTTAGTACTGCCCTGGGATTCTTCTAGGTAGGTGCTAAGAAAACTGTTGGAAATGCTAGGTAAAGGACAGCTGAGGGATAGAGCTATTCTGAGTGGAAGAGATCTTTTTCAGGCCAGTTTTTTTTTTTTTTTTTAAAGTTATTCAGGACACCAGGTTGCATCAGACAGTGAAATTTCCAAACTTCTTAGCAATCTGCCCATCCATGGTTCCTGCCAATGCAAACACTCCGGTTGATGGACGAGAAGAAAGGTGTCTCTTGCCTTCAAAGTCACCCACCTATAAAGATCAGTCAGGCCTGATGAAGACAATTCTCACGGTGGAGCTCAGCGCTCTCACTCTGAAATCACATTTTTCCATCTTGATCATGTTCTTTGTAGGTGTTTATTATGCTTGCCAGGAGAGACAGCCCGCTGTGCCTGCTCATTTGGCGAATCGCTGCTGACTTAAACCCAGCAAATAGCAACAAAAAGCTGCTTTAATGAGATTTTAAAGTTCAGCTGTGAAAATTGAAAGTTGCCCAACATCAGACTACCCAAGCACCTGAGAATATTACTCCCAAATGTTCTTGTCACTCACAGAAATTCTATTTTGGACCAGGCAGTTTACAGGGATGCGAGATGAAATGCAGGTTACCCTGGGACAGCTTTGGGAGAGTTGAACTCAGAATGTCTGCGAACAGCATAGCATAGCACCTGGAAGGAAGGAGGCATTTGCATCACTCATCCCGTCTCTTCCTCTCTTAGACCTAAGTATTCCTCAGTGTGTACTTGGATTAACGTAGGACTATGAAGGCCCAGGGTTATGGAGGAAGGGACAACCCTGGATACCTCAATCATAAGGACAGCAGGAGTTGTCTGCCTCCCCAGTCCAACCTGGTGTCACAGAGCCTGCTCTCCCACCATCAACCCTAGTAAGAATTTATCAGGCTTCACTCCTTGTTTGACCTTAGAAGACCCTTCCCCCCCGGGGCCCTCTGTATAAACCTGAGTATGCAGATTACACCCTGCCCTGGCTAATGGTCCACAGCCATACAAACTTGCTCCAGAGACTGTGGCCACCTCCCCAGGGCTATAAATAACATCCCCCCCACCACCAAGCAAACTGAACCAGTTTTCCAAAGCTGTACCTGGGTATGTTCTTTGCCGGCACTCATCAAAGACCAAAATCCTTTATTCCACCCACCCTCTCTCCAGTCCAGCCCAACGCACAGTGGGCCTGGCTATCCCAATGGGGAGAAGCGGACATTTGATGTCAGATTATGACTGAACTCATGACCCCAACTATTCTCACGTTGAGAAAAAGCCATGATGAGGTGTTCAGTAGTGAAGAATTATGGTTGGCTCAATTCTATAGACCAGAGGTCTACTGTATATGCTACTATATAACAAAGCATATATTAATCTCTTGTTGTTTCACTCAGTGACTTTACTTCCATGTGGCTTATTAGTAGGAAGCCTAGTACCTCCCTCTTGATGCACACCATTTTTCATCCAAATGATATTCCAGTGTCTTAGAGGTGACCAGTCCAAAGGTGTCAAAGACAAGGTATAGGAGTAATTAATAATTCCTGAAGTCAGCAGAGGTCTTCATATGTCTGGGTCACCAGGTAATACAGACAGAGCTTCATGTGTTACAGTCCAAGAATAACTATTCTTTCAGTGGCGATGCCCAGAACATGCAGAGTTACCACTCCTCAAGTTATATGTGTAGCCTCTGCTATCAGCCCTGTGATATCCCAAAGAAAACCTTCCCTCAAGTTCAGAGACTCTCAAGCCAAGGTTTATAGTCACGGCTCTATATAGCACATGAGCAATGGAAATGAATGAAGCAGACGATAGTTAAGGAGAATTGACATTCAGGCTTTGTTTTTAGTTGACCGCCCATGCAAGAAAGTTTGATGTGAATATGTGTATTTTTGACTGTCTTTGACATGAGGAATACAGAATGGATAAAATATTTTATAATTCAGTTCTTTTCTAACTGGAGTCTGGAAAACTGAGACCCTTCCCTCTGTCTTGGATGTCAGTATCTCCTCTTACCATGTGAGTCCTGAACCCAGACAGAAGCACTTCACCTTGAGAACTCTGTTACTTCAATCCTGTTGCAGTATGTTTTCAGTATTATTTCACCTACCTTCAATAATATCAACTGATATTTCTTCCTTTATATCCCATCAGGATTAAGTGATAAAGGTAAACTCAGAAGTATTATTTCCTTCTCATTTCATTTGAAATATGCTTGTCTGCGTCCAGTCTTCAAATTGACAATTTTAAGAATCTCATTCAAGCTATTACTTTTCCATTTCTGAGAGCTCATTCAAACATAGTGAGGTGGCCCTAACTGCACCCTACAAAATGAGTTTCTCAGAGGTAATTTCTTTAGGAATGCGTAAATTGAATCTTACATTTCTTACCAATATCCTCCAAAATAAATATTCCAAAGTTTATTGTAGATGGTCTAGTTTTGGGGAATAGATATGAAGGCTTTGTGTTAGGCCATATGAACAAATCAATTTATCCCAACTCTACAGAAAACCCTGTCCAGCTCTAAACCTTGTCACTGGATCTACCCCCAAATCCTTGAGACACAGCAGAAGAGAGCTCTGCTCCGGGAGGCCATAGAACTGTAAAGATGTCAGCAGTACCTTCCCGGTAACCCATGCAGGGCTCTGTGACTCACTGTACCCTTGACATTTTTACCCCTAACCCTTTACACTAAACAATTGCTGTTGAATAACGTAATGATGTCGTGGGTTTAAGCTTTTACACGCTTACAAACAACGTCTTACTAAATTTCTTAATGAGCCTGATGTCTGTGCTGGGTAGGTAGGTCACAGATCATGGCCTCTAAGTGTGCAAAGGGTGACCAGGCTGTGCTCAAGCTAGCAGGCTTCTTCTGGCACCTCAAAGTAAGCCGTCCTGATTGTGTTTACCACAGTGGATCCCAATTGTAACATGGATCCCATGATACAATTCTAACACAGATCCCAATCAACTCCAGTCATAAATAAGTATCTGACCCTTTAACAGCTGCACAGAGCACTGGGAATTCCTTACCTTCGATACACAGCTTGTGTTCCAGATGTTTAGTGATGCCGTCAAAAGACTTCCATTATTTCCACTTGCAATTGGGAACTTTAAGTAAAATGGAGTCTCCAAGAAGGATGCCAGTTAGCACTCAGAGAGATCCCGGAATTTGCTGATTGTGGGGTCACGCAGGTGATTGGATTCCTGGAAGAATTGCAGAATGACTTCACAACTTTTCCTGGGCACATTCCTGTTTCAACTGCTAAGATAAACATCCATCAGCTGCCTGGATACAACCTATGAAACCTATAGTTGTATGTAAATCTCAACCAATCAGAAATGACCATGATTGCATCTTTCATTTACATAAAACCAGCCAATTGGCACTGAGAAAGCCTGCGTATCTTATTTGCATAGGTGGCTCCAACTGAGAACTTTATTAGGAACTTTCTCCATATAAGCCAGCCCATCTCTTTGCTTCTTCAGGGAGAGCCTTCCTGTCTTACAAAAGGCCTCGTGTCAATGCAACAGCAGTTTGCAAACTGTTTTGCTCTATTGTTTTCTTTTTAAGTAAGACCTCATTTATTTATGTATTTATTTACTTATTTATACTTACTTTTTTATATATGTTTTTTTGTGTGCGTGTGCGTGTGCGTGTGCGTGTGTGTGTGTGTGTGTCTGTCTGTCTGTCTGTCTGTGTGCCTGATTGTCTTATGCTCACCATGTATGTGCAGTGTCCATAGAAGCCAGAAGGAGACACCAGCGTTCCTGGAACCAGACTTACAAGTTGTTATTAGCAGAGGTAGTAGTATCCTCACGCTCTACACGTAAGACGAAAAGGTCAGAGATGGTAAACAGTCTGGCCAGAGGTGAGGCTGTGAGACCAGTTCTAAAGTCCACCTTGTTCTCACTCTCAGCTGCCTGATTCTCAGTTCCAGGGTAGACGCTTCCCTGACGGTGAGTTTTCTTGGGAGGCGGATCTCCTGGGTTGTCTGTGCTGAGCATGCCTGATCCTCTGGTGCTCTTAAGGCCTGGAGGCACCCATCAACCTGGGTGAAAGAACGTAGGATGACGAGTTCAAGATAAACTGTTGTAGATTCCATAAAAAACTAGAGGAGGGCCTGAAGAAATGATAAGAAGCACATCAGAGATGCTTGGTGTTTGAAGCACTGGCCATAGGACCAGGAGAATCAGAGTCTAGATTCCCAGCAAAAGCTATACATAGTGGCATGTGCCTGTGACCCGAGCACTTTGATATGGTGTGTCAGAAACAGGGGACCTCTGGATTTCACTGGCCAGTCAATCTAGACAAAGCTGGTGCGCTCCGGACTCAGTCAGAGACCCCTCTTAAAAAAAAAAAAAAGTAGAGAGTGATTGAGGAAGACATCCACACGGATACACAGATGTACTCCACCAACCCATAATAATAACAAAGAATAATGTTGCCCTGATTTGGTCAGTGCACAGCGTGTTGATCAATACTGATAAATACGCCTCCGCAGCATACGAACATGCACAACATTGTATGCTAAATGAGAAGGATAAAAGTCCGTCTTAACTCTTTGCATAAACACTGAGGTAATATATAATGGGTGACACAAGTGTGTACTTGTGTCCTTGGGTTAAGTGGATTCTCTATTGTGGTTCTCCAGCCTGGGGGCTATCTCCCAGCAGCCCACAAAGTCAGGGGAGGGGACACGAGATGAGAAGCATGCCTGGAATGGATGGGGAGCATCGTATAGGGATCACATACCCCAAGAACTACTTCAAGGAACTAGTTCAACTGTAATTCCAGAGAACAAAGCTATATACCCCTTGGGGAGTGGGTGGGGGAGCTCCAAGGGGAGGTGTATATAATTGCTTGGAACCAGGCACTTCAAGGATGCTTGATTTGCATTAAACAGCACGCCCCTATCATATGAATGGAAACACAGCATATAACTATGCAGGCGTGGGAAGGGAAAAGCTAGCAGGGAGCTGTGTCAAAGGCCATATATCAAATGTGGTTAGGGGCATCTGTGTCTAAAGACAGTCTCCAGATGAAGTCTAGCAGAGAGCACCAGGCCCGGTTGGAAAGAGGGGGTCCTGAATCTTAAAGCCAAGGTCAGAATGGCTATCCCGACTGGGAAAACTGCAACGGCAGACAGCAGGGTTTCTCCAATATTCTGTTGTATCCCTCTAGTGTCCAGATACCTTGCAGCCACTCGGGAGGGTGTGTTGAGTTGTCAGGCTCATTTTGGTAAAGCAAGAAAGGTGACTCTGTCCAGGTAGCTCAAGGGTTTGCAGACAGGGATCTAGACATCTGAATTCTCACAAGCCAATGCCTGTGGGGAGGGACCTCTGATTTTTTTTGTTTGCCTGGGGTCTAGCAGCCAAGACCCCAAGATGACAAGGGAGGATGCAGGCCCTATCCACTCATCATTTCTTCCTAGGGCAATTGACTTCTGCCCCTGCAACCTCCCCTTACATCTCCACGCACGAGTCTGGACTATGCCGGCACAGTTTGCTAACCCAGAAACTAATTTCCATTCTCCTTCCTTCTAAAAATGCTGGAAGCACACTGCTGCCATCTCTTCCTGCTACTTTGTTATGAGTTGAGCTCCCGTTTGTATTTCACTGAGGTCTCTAGAGAGAGAGGTAAGCCACAGTCATGGGTGTTATGTTTCTTTCCCAATTATTAAACGGTTTAGGTTTATTATCAAATAATCAAGAAAAATATCCAAAGGAAAGGAAAATTCCATAGTAGAACGCTGCCACTCAGAGTTAATTATAGCCAAGACACTGATGAAGAAATCCCTCCTAGGTTCATCAAGTCTCCTTGCAGTGTGCAGTTCCCGGGGGGAATCACACTGTGCAATGGTGTTCTTGGCCATTGAGCAGAGGTGGCATGATGGAGGAAGGGCATCGCTCAGTCCTGCTGCAGCTGCTGCTGGGCTACACTGAAAGCAAAGCAGTCAGGGTGAATGTTGTTGGACAGTCCTGGCCTCACAGGCTCTTCCTGCCCTGCTTCTAACTTCCAGGGCATCCTGTAGCTGAAGGGCACCCATCAGGCAGCACCCTACTCCCTGTGCAAAGAAGCACACTCTGGAGCAAATTCTCTGGGCCAGAGCATGGACATTTGAGACATTGGTTTTATTGGCTTATGAGATTTGATTTCCACTGTTGAGCCAGCCTCCTGATAATTCCTGTGATTTGAAGACATTACTTTTCTAGTCTCTTTACTGTGAATAGGACCTCTGGGTAAGACTGCCCTGGCAAAGAGCAAAACAAGGGGTCAGAGTTCATCAAGATGAACAAAACTGGGGAAAGGGGCTCCTCAGGACAGCTTTCCTCCAACCCCTCTTACCTTGGAAGTGCGTGCTTTGTTTTTCCTATTTGGCTGAAGTTACATTTGTTCTCCTGTTTAGCCCTGAATAATTAGAAAAGGAACAACTCTGGCTCTTTCTCCACTGATTGCTGAACCAGCTAGGGCGACCAGGGACTTGCTTCCTACTGTGTGGGGTGACCTAGAGTCAGAGACTGAGAAGTCTCCAAGGGCTTGTAGGTGACAGGCCCAGTTTCTCGGTGCATGTGAGTGGCCTGTGGATGGAGTCAAATGACTACATGCTTCTCTGGGCCATCAGTCAGCTCCAGGTCTTGATTGTGGCTTGGCTCAAACTCTTGGCAGAGAAGAGGCTGGGGTGGGATGGGGGTGGGGCTGAGAAGACCACGGACTGCCAACCACAAACAGATTTGAGGGAAGAACACTATCATATTGCCATTCTGGCAAAGACTTTGGGCCATTTTCTTCCCTACGTGTAAGGCATCTTGTACAAACCCTGCTGCTAAGATACTAATCGTTGGACTCTGGGTAAGAGACAGAAAGGTTCTGACAGAGGGAGACAGTTGGGGATGGGGAGGGCTCAGAGGCCAGGTCTTCTTACCAGCCTGCTGGCTGGGGCAAGACTGTACAAAGTATGCATTCCCATTTCTTGGATATATGAGTAGTTGATGAATTCTTAGACACTTTGATGAAACCCAATTTTTACCTGAGTTGTGATACTTGTGGAGATGCACTGTTTTGTGTTTGTTTGGGACCCAAATTTCTAAATGAGAACTGAACCTACCTTGAGTTTGTCCAACCTTGAGCTTGTTTTCCTGGCCAAAGCTGCAGCTACAGCTTTCCTGTGCTGTTTTTCAATACATCAGGTGATTGAACAGAGAGATTAAAGTATTGTGATAGAAACCCCCCAAACGAGGGGCTGGGCAGATGACTAAGTAGTTAAGAACACTGACTGCTTCCGGCCCACAGCATGGTGCATAACCTCCAGCCCAGCCGGCCCAGAGCAGAGCGCTCAGCTGCCAGCCCAGAGAGCTGCTGCATTCCCGACTCACTGTCCCAGACAGAACTGTGGGCCCCAGGGCACCAGAGACAGAGTTTCCCTGTTGGGAGAAAACTCCAGAGTTAGGGGATCAGCAGGTTCTTTAAGAGGGCTGTGCCTGGAAAAGAGTGTAACAGCAGCAACTCACTAAATTCAGAGCTAGAAACCCAGCAGCAGGGCAACTGTCTTCAGGACTTCTACAGGTGAGAGGAGAGCCCCCCTGACTACCAATGACCATGATTACCACTCAGGCCTATAAACCTGAGGTGAGCAGTGGCAATTCCTGAGAAACACTGGCCATTCAGTGACCATACCCAAACAGTGGTGGAGGCCTTCAGGAAAAATCATCTTCCTGCCAAGGGGATTCTCCTCACACCAGGATTCCAGGAAGCAGCAGAAACTAACAGCTAACACCTAAAATAGCCCAATGGGTAGAGGCCAGCTTAAAAGCTCAACCAATAAAAGGTAGAGCAATGTGGCATCTCCAGAATCAAGTTTTCCAGGAGCAAGCAGCCCTGGACACCCAGCATAATTGAAATTCAAGAAGATGACCTCACATCTATGCTGATGAAGAGATAGTAGAGGAAACAAATAAAATACATAAAGAATTAGAGGAAGATAAAACTAAACAGATCATGGCTATCCATAAAGAAATGGAGAAAGTTAAAGACAAGCAGATTATGGCCATCAGTGAAGAAATACAGGAAGATGCAGCCAAACAGTTTGTGCCATTCAGAGAGGAAATAATTAAATCACTAAAAGAAATAAAAGAGACAGAGGAATGTTCAAACAAGCAGCTGAAGGAACTAAAGGAAAAATAGGAAAATACAATCAGACAGATGAAGGAAATCAACAAAACAACTCAAGATATGAAGATAGAATTGGAAAAATTAAAGAAAACACAAATGGAGGAAATGGAGAGGAAGAATTTAGGGAAGAAAACAGGAACTACAGGGGTAAGCATAACCAATAGACTACAAGAGATGGAAGAAAGAATCTCAGGTGTGGAAGATACAATGGAAGAAATCAATATATCTGTCAAAGAAAATATTAAATCCAAAAAATTCTTGACACAGACCATCCAAGAAATCCAAGAAAACATGAAAAGACAAAACCTAATAACAATAGGAATAGAGGAAAAAGAAGATTCCCTCCTCCAAGGCCCAGAAAATATTTTCAACAAAATCATAGAACAAAATTTCCCCAACTTAAAGGAGAGGCCTATAAGAATACAAGAGGCCTACAGAACACCTAATAAATTACACCAGAAAATGAAATCCTCCCCCCACATAATAATCAAAACAGTAAGTATACAGAACAAAGAAAAAATACTAAAAGCTGCAAGTAACATATAATGGCAAACCCATGAGAATCACACCTGACTTTTCAGCAGAGACTATGAATGCCAAATGGCCCTGAATGGAT